ACAGAAATAGTAGATTCAGAGATTTCTGCGCAAATAATGAGATCAAGATGGAGACAACAGTTCCCATGGCACTGCAACAGAATGGCGTAGCAAAGCGCATGAACAAAATTTTGAATGAACGTGCCAAAAGCATGAGGATACATGTTGGATTGCCCAAATTTCTATGGGCTGAAGCTATCAACAATGCAACTTACCTGATCAACCGTGGGCCCTCAGTTCCTTTGGATGACAGAATACCAGAGGAAGTTTGGAGCTAGAAAGAAATAAACCTTTCACACTTAAGAGTGTTTAGTTGTATTTCTTATTTACACATAGACTCTGCTGAAAGAAGTAAACTTGATGCTAAGTCCAACAAATGTGTCTTTGTTGGTTATGGCGGAGATGAGTTCGGTTATCAGTTTTGGGACTATGAAAATCGGAAGATCATCAGAAGCAGATATGATTTTTTCAATGAAAATGTGATATACAAAGACAGGGCAACCATAGAATCAAGTAGCTCTAATACCAAACCTGAAACAAAGGAATTTGCTGAGTTTGAGGAGATTTCTGAAAATGATGTTTAGATCAATCCTGAAGCAGTTCAAGAAGAACCACACACACCAGAACTGAGATGCTCCTCCAGAATTCCTAAATCAACCCATCGTTATTCGCCTTCTTTGCACTACTTGTTACTGACTGAAATGGTGAACCAAAGTGCTATGATGAAGCAATGTAGGTGGAGGATTCAGTCAAGTGGGAGTCTTCCATGAAAGATGAGATGGACTCGCTTATGTCAAATCAGACGTGAGAATTAGCTGAATTACCACCAGGCAAGAAAGTGCTCCACAACAAGTGGATTTACAGGATCAAAGAACAACACGATGGGAGCAAACGCTACAAAACGAGATTGGTTGTCAAAGGTTTTCAGCAAAAAGAAGGTATTGACTACAATGAAATTTTCTCTCCAGTCGTGAAACTGTCTACAATCAGACTGGTGTTGAAAATTGTAGCTGCAGGAAATCTACATCTTGAGTAGTTAGATGTAAATACAACTTTCCTTCATGGTGATTTGGAGGAAGAAATCTATATGAGGCAGCCAGAAGGCTTCATAGAGGCAGACAAGAAAAACCTGATATGCATGTTGAAGAAGAGCTTGTATGGTTTAAAACAAGCTCCTAGACAGTGGTACAAGAAGTTCGATAGTTTCATGAGTAGCAGTGGTTTTACCAGATGCCAAGCAGATCATTATTGCTACATCAAGAAGTTCGAAAACAACTTCATTATTTTATTGTTGTATGTTGATGACATGCTTGTTGCAGGTTCAGACATGCAAGAGATTATAAACTTGAAGTAAAAATTGTCGAAGCAGTTTGCAATGAAAGATCTGGGTGCAACAAAATAGATTCTTGGGATGAGAATCAAGAGAGACACAAAGTCGGTGACTTTGATGTTATCACAGGCTAAATACATAAACAGAGTACTCTCCAGGTTCAACATGCAAGATGCTAAACCAGTAAGTACACCTTTAGGTGTTCATTTTAGACTCTCCAAATAGCAGTCACCAAAGACGGAGGAAGAACGTGCACACATGGTGTAGGTACCGTATGCCTTAGCAATTGGAAGTCTGATGTATGCCATGGTTTGTACCAGACCAGATATTACTCATGCAGTGGGAGCTGTTAGCAGGTACATGAATAATCCGGGCAAGGTACACTAGGAAGCAGTCAAATGGATCCTCAGATATCTGCGGGATACTACAAACAAAGCACTTTGTTTCAAAGGTAGAGATACGATACTGACAGGCTATGTAGATGCTGACTTAGCTGGAAATGTTGACATCAGAAGGAGCACTACAGGGTATGTCTATACTCTAGGAGTACTGCAATGAGTTGGGTTTCTCAACTACAGAAGATAGTTGCTCTCTCACAACTGAAGCAGAATATGTCACTGTTATAGAAGCAAGCAAGGAGATGGTTTGGCTGCAAAGTTTCTTGAAAGAGTTAGGCAAGAAACAAGAAAACAATGTCTTGTATTGCGACAGTCAAAGTGTTATCCATCTAGCAAAGAATCCGTCTTTTCAATCCAGGACGAAGCACATACAATTGAGATATCATTTTATCCGGTCTCTTCTGGAAGATGAGATTTTAAAACTTGAAAAGATTAGTGGAGCTCAAAATCCGGCATATATGTTGACAAAGATGGTGACTACGGACAAATTGAAGTTGTTTTCAGCTTCAGTTGGCATGCTAGAATAAAAGACCAAAAATGCTGCTGCATTGATCAAGGTGTGAAGACAGATTAAAATCGGTCTTCAAGTGGGAGATTGTTGAAAACTAAAAAGCACATGGGCTGCTTGGAAAAAAAATTGGGGGGCTGAATTTTGTTGAATTTTAGGCATTGAAAAATTATTTTTAGTCATTGGACTTTAAGATATTTACAAAGATTAGTCCTTAAGCTTCAACTATAAATACCCTAACCCATTTAGCTTCAAAATTATCCCAAATCATTTCTTTCTCCCAATACTAGAGAGCTTTCTTGTGAGTAGTGAGTGTTTTGTAAACACCTGTAAATTTTTTCTCTTAGTAAAAGATTTGCAGTAGTCCGGAGACGTAAGCAAATTGGTTGAACTCCGTTATCAATTTCGGGTATTATTTTTCCGCTTTTATTTCGCATTCTCACTAATCTGGTTATAGAGAAATTAATTGTTCTCGTTTATTTCTCAACATATCCAACACTCATTTAGATTTCGAGTAATATAGTTGATGAAAAAATTGTGATTATGACGACTATTGCGATTCATATCTTCTGGTTTAAACGAAGAGTCACAGTCAGTGGTTCAAATCAGAAAGGATGAATCGTCGACAAATATCAACAAACATAAAAACTAATCGAACATATATGATAGGATACGAAAAGTGAGAATACCCGAGACACCAAATATGAAAGCCAGCTGCTGATACCCAACAATCCCATTTTGATTGATATACGCCTGAAGCACTTCACACTGTCTATCAGTAACGAAGAACTTAAGTCCCAATGCTCTAAAATAACATTATTTATACACTCAAAATAATAGTTAGGGGACACTGATTAATGTTTCAAGTTCAAAGCATGCAGTTTCGTGGTTCTGGAGATGCCATGGCCCATGGAGATAATTTCATGGTTTAAAGCATACAGTATTGGTGGACTGTTGATGAACTTGAGTCTCAAATCTTAAGTTGATCTTTTACTAATCCAGGATAGAAGTTGGGTGTTCCTCAAAATAAAGTGGGAGGGAAATGTGTATATTTTCAGTGAGTTTGATTTGGAAACGCTTTGCATTTTCAGCCACTCGATTCAAAACATTGTATAATTCTGTTTCACATTCTTCATCGTCAGTACATTTTCGATTTGAATTCGGATATTCAGTTGTTCATATTCATGTGCAACAAAAAGGTACTTATATAGTAATAGACCCAACATTTTTCTCATTGTGATATTAATCCAAAGAAAAACAAATGGAAATGAACCTCTTCTGGTAAGTTGTAACGTAAACGGCTAAATCTCTTGGCTAACACTGAATTATCAAACATGACAAGTTTCTGATTTGGTAAACACTGTGTTAGAATCGTGTCATCTAATTTTTTTTATAGAGTCCGAGATTATTAAGAAAAAATTTACTTAAAATAGGAGTTAAGGATATGTAGTGACAAGTGGCGAAGTTTAGAATAAAATAGAAGTTCAATTCATTTAAAACTCTACTTTTTTCTTTGCGCGATAAAGAGTAGAAGATTCAATAGATTTTTTCTATGTAGTGTTGTTTGTTAAAAAAATTTCTCTCTATAGATAGATATTAGGGATTGGGATGAGTATGTTATTCTCGACGAGCACCGCGTAACACCACTAACGATGAACACCATTAATTTAATTTATAAAAATTTAAAATTCTAAAGGATTCAACTTATAATTATAAATTAGTTAAAAATCTAAAGGTAAATTATTTAAAATAAAATATTAATTACATTATTTTCCATAGTTTTTTAACAATATTTTGATAAAAATTATAGGAAAATAATATCATTAATATTTTATTTTAAATAATTTATCTTTAGATTTTTAACTAATTTATAATTATAGGTTGAGTACTTTAAAATCTTAATTTTTTATAAATTAAATTAACAATGCTCAGTGGTGTTCAACAGTGCTCGTCGAGCGTTGTAGAATGTTCCTAGGGATTATGATTTAGAAGTAAGTTCATTAAACTCTAAATCACCTTTATACACAAATTTTCTTATATTTTTTGAACACAATAAATAGAGTTTTTCTATGTTAAATATTATATTTTTAATTTTATGATTGTCTTATACTCGTTATTATCGTGCTTACATTATTACATATGGTTATTACTGCAAAGAGTATTATGTATTTATATCAAATAATTTTCCCATATTAGTTAGTTTGTGACCTTCCACGCGGTAAAATTCATAGTAGTAGTTAACCACACCCCAATTTATATATAAATATTAGTTGAATTACCTTCAATCGATCAATTTTCTTCTTACTTAACTAAGGAAGCAGGTTTTGCGTCAATAAAAATGTTTTTCCATCACATAAAAATACTAGCAGATGTTTTTGTCATCAGATTTGTTAAGCTCGTTTTATCTGCTGCTTAATGCCATTCTCAACTACCAATCTTTTAACAACTCTCTGTTTACTTGATCAGTTTTCTGCAAGAAATCTGGGTATATTCTTTGAGCAATGTTTATTTGCTAATTACTAGTTCGATAAAGAGTCTGAGAAGTCTATGATCAGAAATCTGAAATCTGATAGCAGGAGCTTAAACTGCAAAAATACCATAGACAGAAACATGAAAAATAAGTTCCAGAAAAATAAGCATGCAAATCCATAGAATGAGTAAATTCAAGCCGCTAAACTCTGATACGTTCCCGGTCAGCTGACCGTGTCAGTCTTTACCTGCTACTCGTGGAAATATAATGAAGTGATTGTTTGTTTCCATCTATAAAAAGCTTCATCTGCCATGCAAAGTTCCTCAATATTCTCCAAAGCAATAGCAAACAAGAAGTTAATCACTTCTGCTATATCATAATGAAAGGAATTCATTCCATTCTTATAGCTTTCAGCCTCTTGGCTTTGGCTTGCTCATTGGCCTCAGCGTATGATCCCAGTCCTCTCCAGGATTTCTGTGTTGCTGTCAAGGACATCAAAAATGGAGGTATGTAGTCAACTTTATGTTAAGCCTCAGCTGAAGAAAATTCAGTTTAGTTTCAATGTTTTAATATAACTTTTAACGTTTCTTCATTGCAGTGTTTGTAAACGGTAAATTCTGCAAAGACCCAAAGCTTGCAGTTGCAGAAGATTTCTTTTTTTCAGGCCTAAACAAGCCGGGGAACACAGCTAATCTAGTTGGATCAAATGTCACTATGGTCAATGTTGATGCATTACCAGGACTTAACACTCTCGGCATATCTCTGGTTCGAATCGACTATGCGCCTAATGGCGTTAACCCTCCTCACACTCACCCTCGAGGATCTGAGATCTTACTTCTTGTCCAAGGCACACTTCTTGTCGGCTTCGTTACATCGAACACGGACAACCGTCTCTTCACGAAAATATTAAACCCCGGAGATGTTTTTGTTTTCCCATTCGGTATGATTCATTTCCAGTTCAACATAGGGAAAACTGCGGCGGTCGCCTTTGCTGGTCTCAGCAGCCAAAATGCTGGGGTTATCACCATTGCTAATGCAGTGTTTGGCTCAAACCCACCGATCAACCCAGATGTTCTCACCAAGGCCTTCCAATTGGACAAGAATACGGTTAAGTATCTCCAGTCTCGGTTCTGATCGGACTAAAAAGTACTGTAAGAGCTAAATCAAAACCTCAGAAGTTTGTTTGAAATAATGTTGTGGTGTTATTGGTGTCGTAGTGTCCTACGTGCTATTATATAATGAATTAGCTGTTATTGGAATTTGAATTTGAGTGCGAGTGTTATAGTTAATGTCCAGCATGAATAAAGGAAGATATGGTGGCCTGTAATGTACCTATCTCTTGTATCCTCTGTGTGGGGTCATTTTGGATATGAACTCAGAATATATTATTAGAATTATGAGGTTTGACAGTGACTTGTGTCGTTTTATTGTCAAAATAATTATGATTTTTTAAAAATAAATAAAGAAAGAAAGAGAGAAAATAGAGTAGGGAAGCAAGGTCTGACCACAGGGACTCTAGTATTTCTGATGAACTGAAATCTCTGATTTAAAAAATGATGAGATAAGGTAGAATTTTGGATGAGATTAAATATGTGGTTTAAAAGTTGTTTCTAAAATAAAAGATAATAATTAAAAAAAGAAAATAATTAATTAAATAATTTAAAGTGTCAGGATAAAAAGAAACTTATAGTGAAATTAGCCTTTGGCTTCATCTTTTGCCCCAAATTCCTATTGATTCTCATAATAAATTTTCCTTCGGTTATTCACCGGTTATAGTCTACAGGGCCCAACCCCTGTAGCTTATTTTCTCTTGTGAACCGATAACCCAAAATATATTTTTGGATATCAGTCCTTTACGGAGACTAACTACGACTATCGTCGTTAGCGTCAAACTGTTTTATAGATCTAGAAAAACCCTACTTGGATTATTTTGCCTCAATGAGAATCGAGCACAATCTCAATTTTCCTTAGCGGACCGCCGCTAAGTGTGTTCACAGGAAGTCGAACTTGCTACCAGCCGATTCTTCTCCCAACTATAAATCAGAACAACTTCCGAACCAACATCGACTTTTTGATTAAAAATCATTTTGATTTTAAAAAGATAGGTCGATTACCAATCTTATTCCTCTAGAAAATTGAGAAAATAACTCAAAGTTATTTTAGTGCATTTCAATCCTCACAATAGGGATTGAGTCATCGCTTTAGCACTTGACTATGGAGAAATTAGCTAAGTATGACAATTATACTTAGCATCTTTAAAAATTAAAATTAAAACAAAGAAAAACTTTGAAAAAGAAAATATAACTTTTATAAAACCAAAGGAAAGAAGAAGAATGAATTATGAATGTGTTTCTAGGCTTACACTCAGAGGGTATTTATAGCTTTTAAAATCTTAAAAATAAAGAAAATATAATTCCTAAAATAAAAGAGATAATTCCTAATGAAAATATTTAAACTAAAATGCTAAAAAAAAGATAAGATAAAATATAATATTTATACTAATATCCTAAAAACATGAGTTTAACTTAAATTCGAATTGTAGAAACGTGCGGCAGATCTATTCGTCCTATTAGAAGCGCTGACTGGACCTTCTAGAAGGTGTTCAATCATCGCCTCGTTAGATGCGTCATGTCCGGAGTCATGCCCACTAATCCAACCTTGATTCTGAAAACAAAAAAACAGCATAATTCATCCTTTTAGTGCAATTTTCAGAATCTAGTGTCATGCACAGAAAATGAATCAAAACGAAAAAATCAGCCACAAAAACTAAAAATTAAAGAGCAATTTAAAGTTGAAATAATAACTAAATAAAACACCTAACAAATTCCACCTCACTTATCCAATGCTTATCCTCAAGCATTCCTCAATTAACATATCAAAATCACAAGTTGTCATCTTCAATTTCAATTTATCCTCAAACTTCCAATCAAACTAAGTTCATGACAATTTTCGAATTCAAGATACAATGCAAAGAAACAACTAAGGAGAATTTTAAGCAAGCAAATATCCCAATTATTTGCTAACATCAATAAAACATAACTAAATACCTCACAGAGATCCACACAAACTTGCTCAAAGTGTTTAGGGTAAATTAAAATCACTCAAACCGTAACTAATCAAGATATTACCATATGCTTGGAATCCAATCAAGTCTCCACTACTAAAGGTGAACATAATGAAATAATCATGGGGTCTTCAAATCAGGGTATAATGGGGCTTAGGTTAGGGTAGGAAAAAGGCCATGCTGATCGGTTTAAGTACAAAGACAAGAGATTTACAAATTATTCCTAATCTTCATAAAATAAAATAAAATCAAATCAAACATATAAACATATAAAAACATAAACATGAATATTTTTTCATTCTTTTGCACCTTTTTTTTTTTCATTTTTTTGCCGTTTTTCTGCATTGTACTGCTGTTTGAACCATTTTTAAAATAAAAATGAAAAAAATAATAAAATAAAATAATAAATAGAGAACATACATCAATGTAAGCAACTAATTTACTTATCTTGATATGATTAGGAAAGAGGGATAAAAATAAAGGGTTGGGTTTAATTATGTGGTGTAAAACAAAGAAAAGGGATAAAGGCTCAAAAGGTGGCTCACTAATGGATATATAAATGGGTAGGTTTTTTTTGGGGGGGAAATGGGTTTAAACCTAAGTGCACCTATCACATTAAAACATTATAACCAACATGTAATCTCGATATGCATTATGATTACAAGTTATAGAATATCATAGCTAGTTCTGTACAATCAAGTCAAACAATGAGCAAGAAAGAAAATATATTCTCGTTAGGCTCGAATCTCACAAGAAAAGGCTTATATGTACTGAGTCAAGTTTATCTCCATCAACAAATGCATGAAATATCAATACTTAGCAGAAAATCACCAGCTATACCAATCACCATCATGCAAATTGAATTCGATCAAAACAAGGTCACAATCCAAAAGGAAACAAGGGTATAAAGTGAATTTCAAGATAAGCACCTAAAGAATCTCAACTAAGTTAGCTCAATGGAATCGAGGTACCTATGAGCTTCATAGATCCCACTGTGTGGATGTTCGGCCGATGGTGGCTGTGGAGAAGTCCTTCGGAGAAAAACTCACTGATTACGAGGTGTGATAGTGCTGGAGGAACTATGTGAGAAATGTCGGGGGTGCCGGCAAGGAGGCCCATTGTGTCCAAACACCTAGCATCCAAAGTATCCATTGCAAAAGCATAAGTAAATTGAGTAGTATCAAACATCAATGGAAACAAACAAGATGAAAGGTGAGTAATATAAGATCCGAGAATAAGGGGCGATCAAAGCACACAACCCGCTCAAAGGCCCGGGCGAACCAAAATCCCAAATTTACCTTAGTATCAGTTTGCGTACACTATAAAAAGAACAATTCAACTTTATTTTATGCGGACGTAGTATCATTATGTCCAGAATAATTATATGCTAAGAATCGGTGGATATAGTGGAGAGTGGGGTCATGAATGTGCCATGATTTAGTAATGCGTGCATTGTACTAAACTCCCGTCGATCCTGTGAGAGCCTCATAAGTTATGTCAGTGTCGAAATCCTGAGGCATCTCAAGTAAAGTAATCAGATATCCATGATTCGTGATATCCGTCACGAACACCATAGAAAAAGCAAAATCATTCACAGACATTCTAAAACACTGGCTAAGAAATCGAAATGATATAACATCAGGAGAGTTGATAGAAATGACTCGATGTTGTAAAAGGTAATGTAGCATAAAATTTGAACACCAATTCATAATACGTGCTACACCTAATTTTAGGATAAATTCCCAACCAATGACAGAAAAATAATTATAGACATAATCTCATAAATGTAAAGTATCAAGAGTACGAGAGGAAATATACTTGCAAACCTGAAACCGATGATACCGGATGCTGTCGAACCTCCGGGACTCTTCATTATCAAATTGAAGATATCCATGGAGAATTTCTTAATTGGGACCGAATAAGTTCGATCATGACTGTGTCTTTCAGAAGAATCGTCATTATCAGCATCACCCCTGTGAGCAGAATATTCACCAGAATCAGCAGTAAAGCTTGCAGCAAATGAAGGAGATAGTGGTGGCGCAACATGCTGATGAGAAGAAGAATCAGCGGCATCGACAACACCTGTTGAAATGGGAAAACCTTGCTCAAAGTCCTCTCTAAAACCAAAAGCATGGTGCCACATCAGTAAAGGTTCAATTTACAATGGCGTAGAGTTTAACTTGGGCTATTCAGGGACAACATATGATGGTGGTACGGTATCGACATCGATTGGGAATTGGAACTAGACGACATAGCGTAGAACATCAGGGTGGCTGATGATAAAGGTCCGGGCAGCTATGGATTGCTTGGACTGGCAGTATGATGATGAGAGAATGCGGTTTTGCTAATGAACGGGGGAGCAACAGGTTCGTGCGTAGGTGTTGGAGTTCTCGGTTGAGAGTCTTGTAGTTGTCACCCACCACAAGGAGGAGGAGGTAGAGCGGGCAGCAAGTCAAAATCGCTTGGAATGGTTGCAAAGGCCTAAGCGGCATGGCGGCAACGTCCTCCAAGGTTGAGCAGTGGAGTAGAACCTCGTTGGCTTGGTTACGTGTTCTCACCATAATGAATAAAGAAAAAGAAAAATAATACCGGAGTGGAGGCGCTGGTGCAATGATTTGACGGCGGTGGTGCGATGGGTATGGAGTTTGATTGATGAAAATAAAAGAAGAAGGAGAGGGTTGTTTGTCGTGTGACTGGGGAGAAAAAAGGATAAAAAGGAACATGTTTTTGTTTGTTAAATGGGGGCTAGGTCATGTGTGTTAATAAACGAAAATGAGAAAATAATTTGAGTTTAAAAGAACTTGAAAGTGATAGGTGGGTTCATAAAAGGTTAAAATATAGGAAGAAAAGTTTGGGGGAAATGGAAAAAGTGGCCGATCAAAAACAATTTGGGTTTGTGTTTTTTATCATGTTGGACCCATGCGAAATTCAAAATGAAGGTGATTGGATTTGATTTAAAAAGGTAAGATATAGATGATAAGGTGGGCCTCGCCAAAAAACATTTCAAGCCCCCTGAAGTTAGAAGTTTCGGTAGAATAGAAAAAGCTTTGGCTTTGGGGATTGCTATCATGTGCCTGTGGGGGTGGGTTATGCTAACCTGCACCGTCTCCTGTCTCCATATTTGAAACACTACTCCTTGGTTATATATTCGATCAAAATTAGAATTTGTTTAGAAAAATAAAATAAACATTT